CCTCTTTTTTCACTCGATAATCTTCGTATTTATTTAAAGCATTAAAGAATTAAACTTTGTTGTATAAATCGTTTCAAAATTATTTTCCATTTTTACTTCATGAGATAATTTTTATTTTCACATTATTACTAACTTTATACTTTAAACTGCATTAGTGTTTCACAAAAACAGAAAGTTAGGATAAATATATATTTATATAATATATATTTATATATTTATATAATTTTATCTTTCTATATTAGACTAAAATCTTTCGAATAAATTATATCGAAATTATTTGTTTTAATCTATCGAAACATTTATTTCCACAATTAATACGATCGCGCGATTATTTGCATAAAACCGCTAAAGTTTAGAAAAATTATAGAACGAGATATGCAATATCGTTCTTTTGCTTCCTGGGGTGGCGATATCGTACTGAATCAATCTCATCGGATCACTCGGCAGCGTATTTCCGGCGGAAATCAAAGATCGATCATCCAGCCGGCCGGTTTTTGCTGTTTTCGCTGCCAGCTGTTCACGGGCTGTTCGCGCGCGCGCGAACTGATTGCGAAAATGAACGATGTCGCTCCCCGGCTACGCGATGGCATTGTAATAATGTCGTGTACACGCCGAAAAGTAATTTCGTAATACTATCCATCGGACGGGGCCGCGAGGCGATACACAACGCATACACGGGGAAATTATTATCGGCCGGAAGTACAACTGACGTTTGGCACCGCTACGACTGTTATTTAATGCGCTGCACGGAATTCCGCGTCAACTGCTCGCGCGGCCTGCGAGTGATAAATATAATTAACACGCGGTATTCAGGAGGCCCACTCGTATAACCGCCATGCGAGAGAGCTTGCCGCGTTACAATTATAATTCGCCGCATTCGGTCGTTAACCCCGTTATCATGCATAATGTACACAAAACGATCGCAAAAGCACTGTAAAAAACCACACACCAGATATTAGATATTGAAATGAAAAAGAAAATTCTATGAATTGTGTAAAAGTGATTAATTATTTAATAATAATTTATTTTAATAATTTCCCAAATAAAAGTTTGAGAATAGGTAAACGACGACACATATAGAATGGTTAAGAAGGTATTAAAAAATTTTCTCTTGCTCGCGTGTAACTTATATATTTAATATTTGTCGGAAGCTAAATCTTTGCGAAGGGGATGCGACGTAAACAAAGTCGGTCGCGCTAATAAACGTAATGCATCGACTAAAGAAGTAATTTGTAACACGCTGGCGGTTCTGGTTTGCACGCAAAGTATGAGAATGTGTAAGACTTATGAGACTTCGTAACATTTCGACTAGTTTCTATTACGTCAATTCGGAGTTATAGGGGAAACTATTTTCAACGCAATGGGAACTTCGCCTACTTTCCCTGCGCTGTAACAGCGAGTTATATGTCCGATGCAAGAGGATAAATTTGTCACATGGTATACGACTCACATCGATAAAAGTTAACACGGTTTTGCTTGATAAAATATGACATTCATATTCATCGCCATTGAATACGCAGCTTGAAAGCATAGCGAGTTGCATACACTTCTTGCAATCGAATAAAATTATTTTGTTAATATTGGAAAATAAATTAGAAAAGCTTACTCGTTATATTTTTATTATGAACTTTCCTTATTAAATAATTTCAAAACTGACGCGATAAATAGTTTTAGACGCTTTCTTATGTCCTGAATTTTTTCAACTCGCCAAATCAAACGGAGAGTTGAATCTCCAAAAAATTTCAATCAGTTTTGGATGCCTTCGTGGCAATGTGCAAAACGACGTGCTCACATCTGGGATTGCACGTGAGCGTGAACCTCGGTCTATAAGAGTGGCGAACGAGGGGATGGCAGAATAAGAGCTCCACTGTGATAACGTTACAAGTTGAAAAGTAAGTTCGTCGCAGCAGCAGTAGACGATGAGAGAGATTCGAGCGAGATATTGTAGGAATTATGATCCCCCGGAGATATGAGCCGGTCTCCGGAAATCGGGATGACAGTGTAACTTCGCGACATCTGCTTCAGGACTTTCCTGACTAAATAATTCGCTCGGTTTCCGATAACGGGCCTCTCACAATTCGGACAAGCCGCGGTATATCTATCGCGAAAAACTGCTTCTCGGCAATTACGAACGACATATATCGGCCCCGCCGACTCGCACATCCCTATTCTTCGCATTATATCTGCGAAATGTACAGGGTGTCTCTGACACGCTGATCAGTGTCGATTTTCGCTCAGCCAACTCCCTAGCTTCCATGCTTGTGAAAAAGAATTTGTGGAATAATATTTTGCGTTAAAGTTATTCAACATAATTTGCTTGGTAAATATATGAATATATGAAATATATATACTCCTGGACAAAATTAACGCATAATTTTTTTTCACTTTTTCTTTAAAAGTTGATATTTAAAATTTAACGAAATTTTAACGAAAAATTTTAAAGAAAAAGTGAAAAAAAAATTATGCATTAATCTTGTCCAAGAGTATATATAAATAAAATCTCTCTCTCTTTTTTAATAAATTACATTTATCATATAAAATTATGTAAAGACAAATTTAATCCTTCAGTTTTTTAATTTGTAACGATGTAATACCCTATTATAATTAGTCGTGATTACGGGAAGATACGTACTAGACACTGTGTATATGATCCTCGTGAATCATATCCTCTCTTTCCTTCTAATCGGGTCGAAGATAACACCGCCGTTTTCCGCCGTCTATCGTCTATTACGGCGTGTCCCGATTGTAATAGCTCCTCGGGATACTCAGATCGCCGTAATTTGATTCCCGTTTTAAGATAAGGGTCGTATTAACTGCGCGATGGCGTAAGCTGTTCCATCCCTTCTCCGGCGCGATTTACTTTCCGTTATAAGTATGCGGTCCGACAGGGGGTGATGGGACAGCGCGATTCGACCGCATCACCGATGCTATTAACATTCTGATCACTCGCACAATGTCGCTCGACGCTAATTATGCTTAACTACATTTCCTTTCCTATCTATGCCGTAGATAGGACTATTATTATGTGAATGAAGAGGCAATTTTTGACTAAATTTAGTTCATTCTTGATTGTAAATCAAACTATATATTATGTTTATATTATCAGATATTATATAATATAAGAGAAATGATATACTAATTTTATAAAAGCGACATCTGTACATTTCAGACTCATATCATTAATTAAAATTAATTCCATTTTATTCTACGTTATTAAAATTTTTATTATATTTTATTGCGATCTTATTTTATTTTATAAAAATATTATAGAATAATTTTATAGAAATTTTTGACTAAAATTAGTTCATTCTTAATAGTAAATCAAACTATATATTATGCTTCATATATGTTGTATATATTATGTTTCAACGGATATTATATAATATAAGAGAAATGATATACTAATTTTATAAAAGCGACATCTGTACATTTTAGATTCGTATCGTTAATTAATAAAATTAATTTCATTTTATTCTACGCTATTAAAATTTTTATTATATTTTATTGCGATCTTATTTTATTTTATAGAATTTTTTTATAATTTTTAGTCTCTTTTCGTCCCATGTAAATGATATTCTTTCCCTTTTTTAGAATCATAAAGTTAAAAAATTATATACATGTAAAAATTGCGAAATTTCTAAAATATACATATAAAAAATCCTGAATTGAAAGCTCTTTCAGGCGATTAACTTTGTCAGAATGATTCGCAGATGCGCGAGCCAGGCAGTTATACGTAAATGCATCTGCTGTGTTGCGTAACGCGAAGCCGTGGTTAACGTTACGTATTCAATATTGATGCGGCGCTCGGTGTCCGGCGCACTTGCGGATAATTTGTAAATGCAAAAAAAGAAGCACGCGAGATGCAATTATGGTAAAAATATTCTCACAGGGGTGTGCAGAAGATAGGACGCGTTTTATGCGGCGTTAAATTTTACGCGACATACTTTCGACTTCCAATTTCCAACCTCGAGCTCTCTGCTGTTTTCGGAAAAAAAATTGCATTCTTTCATTTATTAATCCAATACGTTGCGAAAAAGAGAATTTGCTTGTAACTTTTGGCCGGTTAATATAACTCCAGTCAAAATTCGTTTCGTCGGCATGATAAATTAATACATACATCTTTCCACCCTCTCTTCCTGCTCTCCTTTTTTTAGATTCTATCTATCTGTGACATTCTTGAAGCTGAACGGCCGCTGATAGGCACGGTTTGGAACGGAAGAGACGCTCCCACACACACAAAATTGATGGTTAATTCAAAACCACCGCGGGAACTGCAACTGAATTTGATCGAAGCAAATAACGGGGTGGGGAGCGGGCAACGGGGGGAATCAGGGATGCGCCGGTGGTATACAGCAATGCACAGGGGCGGGGGATGCGCGCCGGGGATGGACCAGGTTGATTCGCGGGCTGCAGCTGTAAACACGAATAATGGAGAGTACCGATCGGTAAATTGTGTGCTGCTCGGCTTCGTCGACGGTGGTTGCGCGAGCAACTCGGTCGTCCTCCCCCGCTTCCGCGTCCGCATCCGCGTTTCTGTCCTTTTATATTTCGTTGTGTCCTCGCCAACTTTTTTTGCATTTTCTCGCCGCCCGCAATAGCAACGCATCGCGCGCGATGCGTCTCGCGGCGATTACGCACGCGGTCGTTTGTTCGGCCGACGCATACGCGTTTCGCGATGTAACGCAATGCGCCTACGGGGAGTTCCGAAACCGTCAATCTCAATTTTAACAACCAATCTCTGGTCATTTATCGACCAATCTGGAGCTTTCATCCGCGATGTCTGAACGTTGGAAAAAAATGGATTTCCGAAAATTTCTCTAAAAATTCATATATTTCTCTTTATACAGGGAAATATGTAAAGGGAAGCTTCTTCTTGATTACACCTTTTTGTCGAAGAGAAGCAAATGAAGCGATGAAAATAATTTTTCTCCATCTTGGAAAGATGAAAAATATGTACGCGCGATATCAAGTATCTCAGATGTAATCTTTTCTGCTTTCAGTTACCGTGAGAACGCCCAGAGGCTTTCGAAAGCTTACCGTGATCGACCTGCCAGCCCGTTGGAGACAGCGGTATGGTGGACGGAGTACGTCGCTCGGGGCAATGGCAACCCTTATTCGCGTAGCGAGGGCGCGGATCTACCCTGGTACCAGTATCATCTCATCGACGTCGCGCTCGTTTTGATTATCGTCTTCACGGTGTTCATCTACATCCTTTTCCGGTTGATCAAGCTGCTGCTGTCGTTGCTTAGCGCTGTCAAAGGAAAAGCCGGAAGCCAAGCTGAGAAGAAGAGGAAGAAGAAGGACTGATGACAGACGCGTCGAAAAAGGCCGAGTGAGAAACGAACGATGCAGAATAAAGGCAGATTTTTTCATGTAAAAGTTGTTGAGGACATGCGAATTTTGAGTAAACAGATAGAAATAGAATAAATCCGCCATTGCGGAAAATTTATTATTCACGAGAACGATTCATCGAGAAAAAAACAAAAGCTCTTGGAATCGTTTGCATTATTATAACTTTTATTATAATAAAATATATTATAGCTAAAATATATTATAGCTTTATAGCTTTATAAAATATAAAATATAAAGCTTAATAAAATATATAAAATATAAAGCTTAATAAAATATATTATAGCTAAAATATATTATAGCTTTATAGCTTTTATTCGTATACTTTTCACAGTTCAATTCAAATATTTCTAGGTAGAATTAGACGAGTTGTTACAAATCGACGTTGATTAGCTTTAGCTTAATTATTCGATCGGCAATTTTTCTTATCTGACCTTAAAAGATGCCTTGGCGTCGAACAAAGTCATTTAATTGCTAGATAGTTCTACAATATTTTCTGGTATCCAAGTATAACCGTTAACTGAAACTTTGTTCGAACAGATGGTGTAAAACTTATAGTTTGTGAGTTCCCCCTTTTTTATTTTCTCCTGTTTTACGATGGACAGCAAAACTATCCTTCATTTTCTGCTAACTTGCGTGGCATTAAGCATTTGTTCTATCATTTCGGTTACAATCGGAGTTAAAGTTTATTACTTTTATTGCGTCATGTGCAATATATCTAACATAAATTCAGTTTTCATGTATAAATATATAAATTTTAGTTAATTTATAAATTTTGAAACATTTCTAAAATACTATCTCATGTAACCGTTTAAATAAATATCTTATCATTTATATATTTCTATCTATATATTTATATTTATCTTTACTATGATTAAATTTGGCTGAAATATTTATCTTAATTAAAATTATTCAATAATAGAAAAACTTTAAATATTTAAAAGTTAATCCACCATCTCTCGAGCAAAGGATGGGAAATAGAAAACCAAAAAAGTGGAAGAGAAAGTGAAAGAGACATAATACAAAGTGTAGAGAACAGCCGGAAGCGAGGAGGGGCGACAGAGAAAGAGAAAGGTGTATCTGTACGAAAGATAGTAAAGAGCAAAAGAAAAAAAACAACAAGGAGTGAGAGCGAAGGAAGGGAAAGGGGGATGAAAATGCCGCGAGAGCACGAGGCCAGAGAGACATACGAGAGTGAGGCAGCTTTGCGGGCATTAAGGGGTATTTCCCAGGTGGCCGTGTCTCCCACTGCGTCAACCAGCTTCCACCCTCCCTCCGGTTGCAGCGCACCGGCAACGGCAAGCAAGAACCACGTCGAGTTTACGACGATGGCGGTGGCGTCGTCGTTTGCAGCGATGCCATCGCTCTTTCTCGTGCCACCTAGCTGCAGGCACAGCGACACCCGAGACACCGGTTGCAGCAACACGCTTCTCGCTGATATTATAGGGAGAAAGAGGGCTGACGATATTTTTCTGGATAAAATCGCTACATATTGACAAATTTCAAAATTACATGCAATTAACGAGTCTACGAGGGCTCATTATACTAATGACTGTATATTCCGCGGAAGCAATTTCGAGAATTTTAATTAAAGTTTGGGATTATAACAAAGTATTTAATATCGGGAAATTGAAAAATTTTTGGTGGGGCAAGCGTTCAAATTTTGTACGTTGAAGGAGGATAAAATTTGTATTAATTAAAGAATTTCGTCACACAAAATTACAATCTCGTAAATTTACAATCACTCTGTATAATCGTGCGAGGAACGACAATGGCAGTCGCTTTTCCGAGAGAACGGCTTCGACGCGACAAAGACGGATCGCGTGAGCATCGTGCCGGATTAAACGCGATTCACCTCAGTATACAGAGCGCAGATCTCGTCTATCGTCTCGCTCCATCACCTCTATTTCTCTCTTTATCCATGAGAGCGGAGGCATCTCTGTAAAGATACGCGAGACAGTAAACATCGGTTTGCTATTTCGATTTTCGCGCTGCGATAATAGCACGATTATCTATAATCTATTATTCGAATATTTCTGCTATCGATTTAGTGGATAAATTTTATACAAGTTTTACACCTTTCTAAATCTGTCGTGCATTCATTAATATCGATGGATTTATCGGTCAATTTTATATCAAATTTTCTCGAGAAACGTATGGTTGAATGATACATTTTTTCGTATTATATTAATCTCTGTGATTTTTTAAGTAAGAAATATCATTCTTAATTTATAAGTTTATTGAACGATTGACATAATCCATGTGGATTTGCAATTTTGCAGCAATTTTTAATTAGATCTGTTTGATATCGGTTTGAAAATAAAGTGAAATTTAAAAATATCATATAGATTTTCAAAATATAGAGAAGCTATTATCTATTCATCTTTACAATAATGGAACGATAGATCCACTAAATTCACAAAGATCTGCAATATTCTAATCATATACGAGTAGTTATTTTTCTCTTTCCATTTTTATATTTTCGCACAGTTTTTTATTTCTCTTCATTAGCGGGAAATTAATTTTTGTATAGTCCATTTTTAATCTAAATTCACAAAGAACTGATCAACTAGATCGTAATCTTAAATTACTGAAATGAGAAATTAGAAATAAATATGATTTAAAACAATAATTCGAAAAAGATATATAAATGTGCACGTATTATGTGCACGATATTAAAAAATATCGTATGTATTAATCATAAAGTAAAAATTATATTACTAGGGGATGTAAAATGTAAACATAGGGCTGTATCTTTTAGTCTTAGATTTAATCATTATAAGCATTGCATTCGTTATTCTAGCCGATATACCAAAGAGAGTTTAAGATATTGACGTTTGACTAGCGAATCGCGACGCGATAAAAATAATGAATGTCGTGACTTCACGAATGTGACGACGAACGCGTCGTGGCGTTTTCATTTCACCTGGTTCGAGCTGTTGCACGTGACGTTCAAAAACCCCTTAAAACGCACGTGACACTTTAATCGAATCACACAGCGGTGCGCCGCAGAAAGCCAGCGGCATGCGCTACGTGCAACGATTGCTGCAGTGGCTGCACCGCCGTGGCCGGATGATGTTTTTGAACATATGAAAGAACAGTTTCTAGTTAAATTTCTTCTTTATCGTTTGCCTTTGATTATTCCGATGACAACTGTATACTTTGTACGACAAGCAAGAAAAATGGATACAAAAGTAGTAGGTATCAAATTGGATTTTTTTAATTTCCCAAACACCAATGATGCATTGCAACAATTCATTCTTATTTTTTTTTGTAGAAAAGAAAAATGTCATTTTATGTCTAAAATTTTAAACAATCTTTCTAAGTATTTCTTGATAAGAATTTAATTATTATTACAAATTGTTTACGTATATTTTGTATAAATAAGATATACAAAAACAAATTTTCACGAAAAAACTATTAATATATACTTTGTCAAAGAAATGTCCGAAGGCATACATTTTGAAATTTTATTATTATTATATTCTCTATTATTTCTCTATTATTATATATCTTATATTTATATTCTCTGTAGACCATAGTAGTAGATCGTAAACTTAAATTATTGAAATGAGAAGTTAGAAAGAAATATATGATAAAATGTATAAACTAAATTAAAATATATATAATTTCTGGATATAATTTCTGGAAATATATATAATTTTGGAAGCAAATAACAACTTTATGGAACAGAAAATATAATTTAAAAAATATTTATATTATTAATATAGTTATTAAATATTATATTAATATAGATAAATATTAATATAGATAATATAGATAAATATTAATTAAATATTAATATAGATATATTAATATAGATAAATATTAATTAAATATTAATATTAATATTATAGTTATTTATATTATTAATATTATAATAATTATTATTTATATTATTAATACATTATGATTGCTTATAAGGTATCATTATGTAATAAAAATTTGTTTTTCTGACGCAAAAGTCTATTTAATAAATCTGAAAAAAAGCATAAGATAATTCGACTTTTTTCCTTTTCTCTTTACGCTTTGATGCGCTGATTATATTCATGATGCTTAAAATGTTCGTAAAAAATTCGACGCTTTGATGAAATCATAATGAATATCATCTAATAGATTCCTTTATATGATGCGGATTGCGGTATATGGACTGACGTAATTTTTTGATGGACGGAAAATAGGTCGACGCAACGTCAATTTTTTTTGTAATTTTTGCTTGTTTTAACTGAAAAATTTTATTTAATAAAATTGACGACCGTAAAAAGCTATTAAAATATATATATAATTATGTATCAAAATATATGTGTCAAAATTAATAAATATTAAATAATAATTTTATTAATTTTATTTTAATAAAATGTAAAAGAATGTAAATTAAAAATCAAAAAGATTGAAAGTATATAAAAATTAGAAAACAAATATATAATAAATTATAATGATAATACTAAATAAATAATCGATAACAAAAAATAAATAATTACATTGAATAAATAATTATGTTTAATAATAATATACTGAATAAATGAATAAATAATTTTAAAGAAAAAGTCATAGTTTCTTATTTTCTACGTCACGAAATAACGCAGCTTCGCTTTAAATGTGCAACACGGAGTGCATTCCGTCGTGTTAGTTTTTTTGTATTCAAGTTAATGAATTTTTGCGAGCGTCTTTTTATATTTGTCAGAAGTTTTTTCACGCTTTCTCGCTAGTAAAACCACTTTCTTAAAAATGCACGTGCACAGTAGCCTGTCTGCTGAGCTTTATTGGAGGTGTATGCTGAGAAAATTTTATGAATAATTGTATATCTTGCTTAAGTGAAAAAGTTATGCTATCGCATAATCGGGAAGGTAAAAAAATTCAGCGCCGTCTTTCACGCTTCTCTTATACTATAATCTTCTATATTCCCTAGTTTTATACTATATCGTCTTATTAATATATTGTATATACATTCATCGCGCATTTAATTTATCCTGATAAAATTATGGATAACTTAACTCTCCGAGTTTTTCGACTACACTCTGTGTTACAATAACAAAACTCTCATATAACGGTGCACGAAACCTTTCGTGACTCGGATAAGAATAGATTAGATAAAAAACGATTGTAACTTTTCGCTTTGTTCGTCATTAGATTTTAATT